TCTAATTTTAACCAGACAAAAGAGACTGTCTTCAATTAGAAATGCCATCTTTTATGTGTCTTGTTATTTAATAATAATTGCTTTTATGTTGGAATTGGTTTGTATGGGTATTATAAAATTAAAGGATGTGGCCAATCCAGTGTGTTCCTCTTTGGCTGAACTCAGAGGGAAAAAATTCCATCTTTCCACAAATGAGATTTTTAGATAGTATAAACTGAATTAATCTTTTAAAGGACATTCTAGAAGTTATCTCAAAAGCAAGCCAATTTGTGTGTAGAAGGTCATTGTCTTGTTTTTCTTGAAGCATTCCTTTCATATCCTCAGTGGATAGATTTGGAGAAATTAAAAGAGGCAAGATGTGCTCTCTGGAAAAATAAAATTGTGGAAAAGATTTGGAGGTAGAAACAAGTTTTCCAGCCTATGACCAAGTAAATAATTGCTTTTCTAAGCAAACACTTCTAAAGCTCCCTTGGACATGGTTTTAAATAATCAATTTCCATTTATGTTTTTCAACCCCTTCCTTTTAATTTCCTAATGCAGCTTTCCTCAGCCTGGTACCCTCCATGCTGTGGAGAGAATGGTAGCTGGGAACTCTGGCCACGCATGCTGGAGATTACGGAGTTGCTGTCTGAACACAGCTGGAGGGCACTGGATTAGGAAATCTGTCTCAAAACTTGATTGATAAACCCCTTGCAATTGTGTCAGCCCATTTGCTTTAGCAGCACTCTCCTATTAGCAGGTGGTTGTGAAGTTCTTTGTAAAGATAATATTGCATGTTTGCAATAATTGCACTAATATTGCATGTTTAACTACAGAACTATGGAATATAGCAGCAATGTCAGGGAGGTATCCATAGTTGTGCCTGAACGGAACCTGTGTCATTCATGTCTGTGCTGCGCCTTTTAATTGTGGGGGCTGGAGGGCTTCTACTGGCCTGCTTTTTGCCTCTGTCTTACAGGCCCCCATGCAAAACCCCAGAGTTTGGCATCATTTTACCTTAGAGTTTGAATGGCTTCAGGATTGAGGGACTCAGAAGAGCATTAAGAGTAACTAATGGTTTAAGACACATAGCTCTAAAGTTTCTGACATGCCAATATAATTATATCTATCTGTGCTTGGATCACCATATCATATACCCTTTTATGCCAGGTTTGTCTTGAAAGTAGTATTTTTTATTATAAGCAGTGGGATAAGCAACCTGTGACTTCCAGCAGTGCAGAAATGTGTATCTTCTCCATCGCAGTGTTTGTTTTCTTTCTTTCTCTGATTCCCTTGGAGAATTATTATCATCCAAAATATTTCCATACCACTCAATTCAGAAACACTGGTGCAAGCTAACCTGTGTTTTTTCTTAACTTGAAAGATTAGCTTGTCCTTTTGTGTATAATGTGGAGGGGCCTTTTATTAACGTTGATTGATACCACATTTTTTTTACATTAATTTGAAGTGTCAGCCTGTAAACATTTGAGTTTGGGGAAACGACCTTGTTTGTGAAATGAATTCCTACATGTTTGTGGTTTTAGAACCATTCTCTGGTTATCAATTCCGGAAGAGGAATCATGTTAGTCTACAACAAGATGTGCAGGGGTGCCAGTCTCAACCCCTGTCGAGTTTGGGATGACATGGAAGAAGAGATGGAAGAAGAGCCAGGGAAATGCAGTTACACAGAACAGCAAAAGCTGAGTTTCCCAGTTGTCAGCTTGCAAGTTAGCCGGCCCTATCAGGGAATGTCACAAAACAGCAATACCCTTGGCATGTGTGGACGAAAGCTGACAAAATAGTGTCGTCCATTCCTCTTTGTCCTTCCCTTCCTGTGAGCTTTCCATTGACACCAGGTGAGATTTTTCCCCTCTGTCTGCCTCCACTTCGAACCAGTATCAAAACCCTCAAAGTCTCCCATATCTACTTTGTATATCACATGATTTTACTGTTAAATGTGTGGGGAGTGGCCATTAGGTTAGGTCTAGCTAGCCCAAATAGATTATTCCTCTACTTTATTCAGTTGCCATATCCAACAATATTATATGGTCAAAGGCCCAGATGTTTTAACCAGTTTCTCAGTTTCCAAATTTCCCTCTGTGGCTGCAACCTTCTTTTCTTCATTCTTTCTATTTTTGCTTTCCATTGTCTCCCTGCTTTTGGCCTTTAATTTGGTAAAATTGGGTTGTATTCTAAAATAGGTTTTATTAGAGGGCATTTCCTTGTTCAGTCTGCAAAGTATCTTTATGCGTCCTGAATAAAAACTGCATGTGCTCGCTTGCTCTCCGCCCTGCCCTCTCTGACTTTTTATTGAATGTTATAACCTGCAGCATATTGTGAGACATCATTAATTTTTTAGGTGAAATGTCCTGCACCGAAACAAAAAAGATTCATGCTCATAATATGCTAAAGAACAAATTAATACAAAAGTAGGGGACAGTTTTGTTCCCTCACAGAGTTAAGAGGCTTCCCTTGCCAATCTTACTGATCTCCTTGAAATTAACTGGTCAAATAGTTGTGGGATGAAAGTAGTGATAGTACAGGTTAAATCCTTGCTGAGATTCCTCAGAACTCAGGTTTGGAACTCCCTGCATGGCTACACTGGCAGCTCCAGACATCATGCTAAGTCGTCCTGCAAATAAGCCAAGGTTGGTTGGTTGCATGGAACAACCCATTGAACACGCAGCATTCTATTGAGCTTATGATGGGTTGTTTTCTCTTCCTTCCTCAGTCCTCCAGCCAGCTCTGATATGTGTGCCAAGAGACCTTGCGGTAGAACCTCTTGTCCTGACTCCTCTCCAATCTGAACACCATCCTTCTTTAGCTTCTGGGGTTTTGACTTTTAGTTTTGGTGCCTCGAAATTATGCAACTGGGGTCATAGTTTAGTTATTTTTTATGTCAGTCTTTTCAAAGTGCACAGTTGTAGATGGTCAATTTCCCTCCCTCCCTCCCTCCCTCCCTCCCTCCCTATCTATCTATCTATCTATCTAGGAGATGTATAGGCTGTCCATCTCTGTCGTCTCTGGATGGCTTACAGTATATTATAAATACTAAATAAAATAAATTAGCTATACTACAACTGAGTATAAAAATGATATGGTTGAAATAAATTAAATAAATAAATATACAATTAAAATTGATTAGCATTAAAATATTGGTCAAATAAAAAGGTCTTGACCTGGTGCTGAAAAGCATATAATGACGGCGCCAGACAGACCTCTCTAGGGAGTGGATTCCATAGTCCTTCACTTATATATTGGTGAAGTAGGAAGCATGCGACAAGTGTACTATTTGCTCTGTCCCATTCTGCTGTCCTCATAGGGTTTTTTATTTTTTTATTTTTTTAGCATTCAGGAATGTTTGTGCTAATTTGGGGGCTGGAAAAGAAATGTACACAAATGCAATGGCTAGGAAGTAAATGGCAGGGAAATTTGTGCACTGGCAGTAATGGACCAGTTTTAATGCTCCCGCCACATAATAAAATCAGTCTTGGGTTTGGATGAGAAGGCAAATTATCATGGGCAAGAACAGCCCTACATCAAGCCATGGGCTCTCCCCATGGCTAGATCCTGGAAAATAAGCCACCCAGAGAAAATGTGCAAATTTTGCACAACATGACAGTCCACTGTGGCCGGCTACCTATGGTGGATGTCATGCAAACCCAGTCACTGCCTACTCTAGAAGAATTGAGAATAACTGCCTGTAATACATTACACCATAAATGACTGCAAAAGGCTTTATGTGATCAAAGGAGCATGCAAACCTGGCAAAGGCCCCTAAATCTCAATGCAGTTGGCTACAGTAAAATGGATGGATGTAAATTGGATGCTTCTGGTTGAAGATGTTAAGGGATAGATGTGTCTGAGGTGTTTGTGATATATTGCATATTGATTAGCATTAGTATTGGCTCACATTCTTTCCGTGTGTGTGTGTGTGTTTGTGTGTGTTCATATAACAAAGCAAGCACAAATGTCTGGTTGTTTTTCCCTAAACCAAAACAACCCCCCACCCCCATGATTTTAATTGGAAACTTAATGAATGAGAAACTGGCACAATATGCTGTAATTGGAGAAATAAACTAAGTTATCCTTTCGTCTCTTTCCATTATACTGTTTAGAGCCCTGGATAGTTGCTTTTTGGCTATTTTCAAACATCAAAATTCAAAGTGGCTCCAGTGGTAAACACAGGCTTATTTTGGCATTTTTGTAGCCTGTCATTTGCTCCAGGGTGAATGATCTCAAGCATCTAATACATGGATGTTAATCAATCAAAATAAGCTTTGCTTTTATGGTAGGAGCAACACATGGGTCTTCTCCAATAGTCTTTGGAACATAGATCTTGCATGTCTATGTATCCTGCTATATTGTAAACTTTGAGAACTCCAGTCTTCCCTAAAGACCAAAAACAAATTGCATTTTCTCCCTGGTTGTGATCCTGTTATGAGGGACTCTGTTCTGTTTCTAGTAAAGTGAATCCGCAGGCTCGCTTGCTCTTCCTTTAATTGTTTCTAGCTCTCATTGTTGCATGGAGGGAGGGTGGGGTGAACGGGACACTGAAGGGTATGAAAAAAGAGGCTGCAACACACAACACTATCCAAATCCTCGGGAATATAAGGCTATGCTCAGCTTTTGGAAGTGTATTTTTGTGTTGTCCCTAAGAGCGATTTTGCATTCATCACCTCATGTTACATGTATTCTGAAAGAGAATACATATTCAAATGAAAAGCAGTCCTCATTGAGCAAGTAACAGTATATTTATAGGGTATTAAAAAGTCCTATGTATATGTAAGTCAGAAAAAAAGGCCTACCATTCCCAGCATGCTGCACTGTAAGCCTTTTTTCTGTCTATACAGGATTGGAACCCTAAGTGGGTGCTCACCATTTTTATACTCTGCAAATGTCAGTATGCCAGCAGTATGCCACATTCTCTTTCTGCATGCTGATGTCTCTTTCTTCCTTCCTTCCTTCCTTTCTTTCTTTCTTTCTTTCTTTCTTTCTTTCTTTCTTTCTTTCTTTCATAGGATGATACTGCAATTAAATCAGAAGAGCAAGCAAGTGAAATTCAGCGCCTTGAGCAGACTATACAAGATCTGAAAACAAAAATTGTGGAGTTAGAGAAACAATTTCCGGGAGCAGATGCACTGGTTTCCACTAGAAATCAATGGAATGAGAGCAGGCAGCCGACGTGTGAAAGGCTTCATAATGCGGCTGTTCAAGAACATGAGCCACACGCCCTGCCTAAAACCATAACTGCAAAATCTGTGCAGACTTCGCCTGTAGACGATTGTTTAACACACACAATGCCTTCAGCCAACACACTGCCACAAGCACCTCCCCACTTGAAAGGGGACCCAAGTCAAGGGCCAACTCAGCCGTTGCCAACACTTGAGCCACAGCCAACCTTTTGCTCGGAAATATCTTTAGTTCTGTCACCAAAACGGATTTCAGTGCAGTTGGATGCTGCCCAAGAAAAGCTCATGCTGTCACAGACCTCGGGACCTGATCCAAATTTGTCATCGTCTTTGTTTCAGGAGGAATCGATGTCCTTGGCTCCCCACCCAGATCTAAGTACTGAGACTAGGGATGGCACGGAACACTCCCCTTTGTCCCCCTGCCCTCCGTCTGGTCCCCCCGCTGGACGGCCTGGCACAGGACTGGCCGCTCCCCTGCCTGGAGCAGGAGAGCCCTGTTCAACGCCGCCCTGGTCCGATTCAGGAGTGCCGCCTCCACCTCCCCTCTGTGCCTCAGGGTATCCCCCGCCGTGGCCTGGTGCAGGGCCGTCTGCTCCCCTGCCATTGCCTTCTGAAAGCATTCCTTCCCCGCCACCTCTTCCTGGGATGGACAGGCTGCCCCCTGCCCCTCCCGCCCCTCCTTTGCCGGGAGCTGGAATGCCGTATGACATCCCATCGCCACCACCTCTTCCTGGGATGGGAGTGCCGCCGCCCCCGCCTTTGCCAGAGGCAGCTATTCCTCCTGCACCGCCTCTGCCTGGCATGGGAATCCCGCCCCCTCCCCCGCCTCTTCCTGGAAAAGCAGCGCCACCAACCCCTCCACCTCTGCCAGGCACGGGGATGCCGCTACCCCCACCCCCACCCCCTCTGCCCCCAGGAGCAGCTATTCCAGCTCCACATCTTTTCCCAGGCATGGCAGCACCTCCCCCTCCTCCCCCTCTGCCAGGCATGGGAGTCCCACTGCCTCCACCTTTGCTGGGTGTAGGGGCGTCTTCCTCTCCACCATCTCTACCAGGTGTAGCAGTACCACCCCCTGCACCACCTCTGCCAGGTATGGGGGTACCACCCCCTCCCCCACCTTTGCCTGGTGCAGGAGGGCCCCCTCCTCCCCCCCCCCCACCCGGCCGCGGGGGCCCCCCCCCCCCCCCCGCCTCTGCCAGGCATGGGGGTACCACCCCCTCCCCCGCCTTTGCCAGGCATGGGGGTACCACCCCCTCCCCCGCCTTTGCCTGGTGCAGGAGCTCCCCCTCCTCCCCCACCTTTGCCTGGTATGGGTGTGCCAGCCCCTCTGCCTGTTAGCCTTCCCCAAGTTTCTGGGTTTCTTCCCCCACCCTTGCCAGCTGGTTTATTTGTAATAGGGATAAACCAGGACAAAGGTAGCAGGAAACATGCAATAGAACCTTCTCGACCAATGAAGCCTCTTTATTGGACAAGAATTCAGCTTCATAATAAAAGGTAACATGCATGTTAGAAATTTTGTTTGGTTGGTTTCAAACTTTTAGGATTGGATTGTGATATGCACGTTGCATCATAAACGAAAAATATTAGTAAAGTGAATGACTGTACTTGGTTCTTTCTATGCCTTTATAAACTGGAACCTTGTTTGCAGAGCTCAGTTTTGTGCCTTGGTTTGGATGCATTTGCAAAGTCTGTTAGGCAGAGGTGTATTTCCCTACCCTGTTCCCCTACCCCCATCCCATCACATGTATTTAAAGATAAACATGACCAGGTGGCATAGCCCATATTGCACTTAGTAGTGAGCCCAGCTCTTTCCTAGTGTGCAGTGTGTTATGTTCCTTTCTGAAGCAAATGTGTTACTATAGCCACGTATGCTTTCAGTTTTTCATGCTTGCTGCCCTTTCCAAGATGGTCTCTTGAGCTGCCAGTTTGCACCCATGTGGCAGCACCACCAAACTCTCTCCTTGTGGACTTCATGTGGCTTTCCGGTGACCACAGTCACATGGAGATGACCTCTTGCGAACTGAAGTCCATGTGCATGTGGTTACACCGGATTGCAGTAATTTCCTGCGATTTGGGCAGGACTACAAATATCTCTTCAAGCTGTCAGGAAGTGATTCAGTAGAGTTAGGAGAGTACTTTGAGTCCATAAAAGTACTTGAGCAACCTGGACAAAAATACCACAGCGGGAATCCAGTGTTGCTGCCCCATGTCCAAACCAGCCCTGCAGTTCTCATATTGAGGAAAACATTGAATTGCTCTTACAGCACTTTGAAATATAACCTTGTTTGTCAGGAAGGAGGCTGCCAGAAGGACTGAGATGGAGAAAAGAAATTCCTGACACAGCAGGAATGCTTGAGATGAAGCAAAGGGATCACCTCAAAGCTTTGGAGGAGGGAGGAACCTGCACCCTTTTTAAATTTTAGCACTTGTGTGCCCATTCAGGAGCCAGGGTTTGACTACAAAAACAGGAGTTGCCAGGCACCTAGCCACCATGAAAGCCGGATGCCTTGGAATTCCACAAGAATGCAAGCAAGTTGTTTTGAGAAAAATATACTGGATATGCTCAGAAATGTATTTGTATTTCATAAGCTCTCTCCAGGACTAGTCCTGGCCCTGAGACAAGTTTTGTGTCCTAACGATCCCAGACATTTCTCATCATGGGACTGACACTGATAAAAATTGAGGAAAGCAGTATATGGGGCCAAAAGAATGAAAAGTCTGTGTCAGAAGGAAAAAAGGAAGTTGTTCTTGGTAGTTGAGGTGTCTTAGTCAACCTAGGAGCAACCATGCGTCCTTAAAGATAAGCAAATACATCGATGTTTGCAAACGCTCCTGCCCAGTCCTATTAGACATACTCCATAATAATATTTTACCAAACTGCATTACACAGATGGCGATTTCTTGGTTAAGACCACTTGAAGAAAGAGATTTCTTATCATGGCTGGAGCCCACAGCTCCCCTTTCAGAGAAGTTTCAGTATCTTAATGGAATTTGCAGGAAGTGCACATTTTCACATGTGATCCTGCATGTGAGTCGTTTGTCAGGCACTTCTGACATTGTAACTGGGTTCCCCAAAGCCACATACAGTGAGTGAAAGGAACAGGAATTAAACGCAGCCAGGAGCAAAGGTCATGCACAGCCCACCCATCTGTAAAATGTAAATGTGTGAGACTGAAGGATCCCACCCATTAGCAAGGAAGTAGTGGAATCTAAACTCACTTTGTAAGGCGTGACTCTGCATAAAGGACAAGACAAGCTAGTAGGACTGAAACCAATTAACATAATAACCTACTTAGAAGGTGTTGGACTGGAAGGCATTTTCGTGTGGGCAGGGCAGGATCTCTTAGCACCTCGGTTCCTCCTGAATCTTCAGTTAAGCCAAGTCAGGAGGCAGTGCTGGATTTAAACACAAGAGTTGCAGGGCTGAAACCTGTCTGGAAGGCCTGCCCTCAGATGTGGATGGCTTGCTCTTATGTCCATAGTATGCAGTTGCAGGGCAACACACTTGCTCAGAGAAGACTCACACTCCATTACTCCTTTCACAATGAAAACATGCTTCAGTGATGAACCCCCTCAGGGCACAACAAAGGACTTAGAGAGATTGAAAAGTGGTCATGCAAAGGAATTTCTGGTTTGTGATGAGGATAGAGAAGGCTGTTACGATGTGGGGCAGTGGTGTTTTTATAATGCTTGAGAGACCTTTTTGGAACAACAGAAAATCGAGCTGTAATTCTGCCTGTGGCTTTTCCCACTGCTTGTGTCCACTACAGTAAGCCTCTCTCCTTTTCCGCATTACCTTCTGACAGACTCCTCCATACATAATCCCACTCTCTCAAGTGGGAAAGATAAGGGCTAGTTTGCTCAAGCTATGCTGCTAGCAATTTCTTACAGTTAGAAGAGGAGGCGAATTGTCATGAGATTCTAAGGGACCAGAGATGCACAATGCAATCTCTTCTCTCAGTGTGGATCTGTTTCAAACATACAGCAAAGATAGCACGAGCTGACTAATGAAATCTGTGACAAAATTTAGAATTCTTCACAAGGGTTTCAGTTACTGGTCCTGTGTAAAATGTATGCCAAATTTTGTGGAAGTATTTTCTCTTTCTTTCTTACTTGATTTATATTTTTCAGCATATTCAAATTATGTTAACTGGAAAATAATTATTTTTCAGGCCACATTACCTTTTTCAACTACTGCTATAGTAGCTGTAGTCAGAACATGTAGATATGATTATAATAATGCATACATTATAGCATGTGTATCTATATATTTAACTATAAACACGGAACACTGCAAAAATAGAATTTGTGTAGTGCAGAATGTTTAGAGCATAGTTACTTTGGTATGTAAATTTTCAAGGAAAAATCTAGGGAAAAATGAACACTGCTTTCAATAGCAAACTGATATTCATCTTCTATCTTCATTCCACCATTTTGTGATTATTTAGTGTGATATTGCCCTACATAGGTCTTTTGCTTAACTTTAGAGATTCTAGTGCTTCACTTGTGTGGGAAAAAATTGAAGAGCCTTCCATAGATTATCATGAATTTGAAGAACTGTTTTCTAAAACAGCTGTTAAAGAAAGGAAGAAACCCATTTCGGACACCATCACAAAGACAAAGAACAAGCAAGTGAGTATCCTCTTGTAATCTTTCTTTGGCAGGCAAAACTTTTGCTGGGAAAGGTTGACCCACCTACTAGAAGGGAGGAATCCGGTTCAGGAGATCAGTAGCTCACAGTTGGTGGTTATAGATATATAAGTAAAGAGAAGATCAATATTGGAGCAGGAAAATAGAGGCAGGGGGTCACAAAATGTCCCAGTGGTGGCAAGATGTTGAGCCAATTTGGGCATCTTCATTTTGGTGGCAGCAGCACCACATTTTGGTAACAAGGTGCCACCTTCCCCATTGCCCTAGCAAGCACTGGTTGAGGTGAGCAACAGTTAATTTTTCCTAGTGAAAGGTCCCTAGTGCCAGTGCTAGGACATAATTGGATACTACCCTGTGTGTGAATCTCTGTCATCCTTACCCCTGAGCCCTAGACTAGGCTTGCCATGGTGCTCCATAAGTGCTGGTCATGAGCCACTTAATTAGCATAATGACCCTAGCTGGGCACTGGGTGCCATGATGGGTTCCAGAGGGATTTGTAAACCATGCCTGCCAGCCACCCTGGATAGCAAGGGCTTCCACAGTTGATGCCTTAGATTCTGAATAAGCACTGGAAGAAGAGCCAGGATTGGAATTCTTAGTCGAAATGCCAAGACCAACAGACCCAGAGATAAGGCAAGAGGCCAGTGAGAACCAGGCCACAATGGCTCAGCTCCAGTGAATGCTTTGTTGAACAGGCAGAGCTGGGCAGAAGTAGATTTAACATTATGAATCTGACACGATTATGGTGTCAGATCAAAAGGGCAACCCAACTGAGCAGGATCAGATGTTTCTGCCAACTGGCCCACAAGCAGCATAAACCATCCTGTAGGTGCCATCAGCTCCTTTTGGTTGGGAAGAGAGGAGGGTTATTCCATTTGGAATCTCCACCTTATCATACCTGCTTTTCCATATCAATCAGCATTTTATCTCCTTGGTTATTAGCTTCTGAATGTTCTTCTGTTGTATCATAAACCCAGCCTAGCTGCCCAGTTTTAGCATAATAAAGACTTTAGTTAAAAGGTTTTGTTTGGCCTGCTCGAAAGGAGGTATGGAGAAAGACTACCTCCTGAACCAGATTTGGATATCAGTACTTGGCTTGGCAGATTGATTATGCTAATTAGGTAGGTCATCACGGGCATGCACGGGGAGAGGAAATAAACCACAATTATATTGTCCTTAGAGAGTCTCTAAGGCCATCTTCCTCGATCTGGTGCCTGCTAGATGGTGGGACAAATCCCATCATCCCAACTATTGGGCATTTTGGTTAGAGATTATAGGAATCATAATCCAAAAGATTTGGATGGTACCAAATTGGAAATGGCTGCTATAGTGGTGGTATCAGATTAGCACTGCCCATGGCATCTGCAGCTTGGTGTAAAATCTGGAACAAGCACTGATTGTCATTCTTTGCAAAAAAAAAAAGGGGGGGTGTTAATACTTTGAAAAACAAGGTACTGAGCACTGTTTTGAAATAATGCATGTTTAATTAATGTGCCATCTTGTTCATGGATACTATGGCACCTTTCAGCCTGAGAATTATAAACCGAAGATGATAGGTTATCTTATTTTCATTTCAGCATTTGCCATTGTATAAACATGTAGAAGAACCAACAATATGAATCAGAATATGATCTTTCAGAAGGTTATATTTTAGATAGAATTCTATCTAGTATGAGCATCCATGTCTCTATCAAATAAACATTTGATGAGACTTAGAAGATCTATATAACTTGCCAAAATATCAGTTTATGCAGAAGTCAGTATTGCTTTCCAGATTTTCTTAAATGCACCATATTGAACAGCTTTATGGTTAGGGAAGAACCATCCAAATTGTTGTTGTTTATTGAAAATGTTGCCAGGTTATTTAAGATAGGGTCTATCTATATCCAAATAGATGGGTGTGTCTGTTCTGTGAAATTTATTTTTATTAATGTATCATGAGATTTAGGAACACAAACCTCTGCAAACAATAAAATGATGACTATGGAGTTGTGTTTGGCAAACAGTGGTTAAATAGGCAGGCAGTAGTTGTGGTGAAACATTAGTGGCTGTGGTTTTTAATGTCTGGCAGTGTTTGTTTTTCTTTGCAATGGTAAGCACTTTATAATATTTTTAAAACTGGAGCTGGATATTCCTCAAAGTCTCTAAAAGTACGTTTTCTGGAAAAATAAACTTATTTAGAATTCAGTAAAATCAGCTCAATAATATGAATATATTGCAGTTACTGTACAGACCATCAGTCCAAATACATGTTTGCCTGTAGCCTACCAATTCCCTGCTGTATCAAAGAAGCCTCTGCAAACAATAAAATGATGACTATGGAGTTGTGTTTGGCAAACAGTGGTTAAATAGGCAGGCAGTAGTTGTGGTGAAACATTAGTGGCTGTGGTTTTTAATGTCTGGCAGTGTTTGTTTTTCTTTGCAATGGTAAGCACTTTATAATATTTTTAAAACTGGAGCTGGATATTCCTCAAAGTCTCTAAAAGTACGTTTTCTGGAAAAATAAACTTATTTAGAATTCAGTAAAATCAGCTCAATAATATGAATATATTGCAGTTACTGTACAGACCATCAGTCCAAATACATGTTTGCCTGTAGCCTACCAATTCCCTGCTGTATCAAAGAAGCCTCTGCACCTGTATTCCATTACAGGCATGAGGATCCACTAGAACAGTGCAAATCTTTCCAGTGGTTTAGCCCTCACTCTCACTGTACACGCACACACAAACACACACACACAACACATTGAAACCTTGTCAGCAATTTCAGTACAGAACCTTGTGGAGACAGCTGACACATTGCTGAGAGAGTGCTTGTTTCTTAGTCATCTCAGTAATGCAGACATCTTGTATGAATGGGGCTGTCCCACTTGACCAGAGCTGTTGCCTATAGAATGGGATGCTTTTGAAGCCATGCCCTGCCATGCACCTCACCGGGCTGGGGCAACATGGGGGGGGGGGGCACACTCTATGAGAGGAATTAGGGAAATCATCTGTGAGCAGCAATTGTCAGTGATTGTCTGAACCCAGCCTTAGGTTGCTAAACGTGCTGTACTTGTTCTGTCCTGGAAATACGGCCAAACAAACAAACACAAAAATAAGGAGGCTGCAGCAGCTGAGCGATGGGATATCCTTCATACCTCTGTGATACCTTAAACATTTGAGGCCATCCCATTATAGTAATAATCTGTCTTAGTCTAGTTCTCCAACCTAACATAAGATAGATGCATGGCTCTCTAAACAACCTGAAAATCTTTGTTGAAGAAGATGAGTTGTGTTAACTGGCAGTCTTTATATTTTGTGCATATTACTCTTCAATATTTACATAGTAGGCTTGTGATACAGAGAAATATGTGTGAGTACACAATTGTGTTGTATATACTGCTTTTCTTGCTGCCAGCAACCTCTTGAGCTGTATTAAATAACCTGCTCCAGAAGGTCCAATCCCCCATTTTTGGGGTTCAGTGAGAAGCCCTTCAAATTAGGAGGTAATTGTGGCCCTTCAAAACAACACAGCCATTAGTACTTTCTCCTTGGACCTCATTCTGCAAAGTAGGTAAGGGTGGGGAAACATACCAGTTCACCAGAGCTAGGAACTGCATCTGGGTTTGTAAAAGGTGCAGTTGCAGAGCCAAGGCAGAGGCCTCTGCAAACACATGCCTATAGCTCACTCTGACAGAGCAATTAACACTCGGCATATATGAATTCATCAGAATAACAATCAAAAGTACAAATCATTGCAAGTGTTAAATATGATGTTCCTGTGGATGTAATCTTAAATGTCACTGGACTTTTGTAACATTATTTCATGTGGCTGATTCAGCTCATTTTATATTCACTATATCCACAATATTTAACAATAAAAAAATCTGAAAGTGCTACTGCTTGGTCTTACACCCATGAACTTGGATATGCAGCATTAATTGTCTATGGTTTTCATTTGTTTATTTTTAGCCAGTTATTGTTTATCAGGACCATTCCCTACATTTTACTCTAGCTGATAAGTATGCATGGCCTATTTCTCCTAAGACTGAAATAATGCTAACAAGAAATATCAATATCAACATTTATATTAAAACAATGACTGTGTGCCTACATATAGTTACTTGCGCACAAGTTGCACTGAAAGCAACTTTAGAAGGTTTTCCAAGTCTTCTCTGCCATCAAAGCCAGGGAGGGGCAGACTCTAGGGCCCTTTGTTCTCTTCTAGGGCCCATGGTCCACCAGCAGGATCCTGATGCAAAACATTCAGTCTGAGAATGAAGCATTCAGAGACCATCAATCCGCATGTAGAAGTGCATGGAGCTCACAGTCGATTCACACAAACGCCTACTAGTTACCCAAACCTCTTCATTTCGCAGCCTATTTTAGAGGATGAGGGAAGTAATTTGGCTGCTTTCATTGCTAAACAATAGAAAATATTGTTCCAGATTGCCTAGAGATCTACCATATATTCAGATCTATCTGTTGCCCACCAACACATTAAGTCAACAACAATGTCCTGTCTGCATAATGGGGTGTGTGTGTGTGTGTGTGTGTGTGAACTGCAGTATCATTCTAACTGTTTGGCAAAAACAGCTCTGTGAGTGTTGTTTATAAAATGGCTTATCACCATGACCTTAGCTCCTCCTTCCATTCCAGGCCTGGATGACATTGTAAGATTATTTATATATTGGCCACGGTTTGATAAACTAAATGTGTTATGTGTTCAATTTGTATCTAGAGGGGAGCCTAATTAATTTTTATAGTCAACTGTTTTAATCTATCATAAATAAGTGAAGATAGCTTTTTAATAAACACAACTGTTATTGAAAGACTGTATCTTGAAGACCTATGTTATTTCCTCTTTGGGGAATATTATCTAACGTTATTAATGATGTTTACAACAACACACCAATAGCCAGAAATTATGTCAGCTTGGAACTGCTTTGCTTTCTCCTATTTGGAAATGTTGCCATGATTTTGGAAGACATTAATGACATT